AGAAAAAGTAAAAAGGACATTTGGGTGATTCTGTTTTAACTGTAATTTTTTATGTCTTGTATTGTTTGTTCTCCCTTAAATATATTAACTAAATTATCATGAACATATTTCATCATATTTTTTATATAATATAATTTATCTTTTAGAGAGAACCTACAATATATCACCTAAATATCCATTTCTAAAATTTATCTATAGTTTCTTAAATTTTTACCTCATACATTTTTATTTCCACGATCAAACTAAAAAAAATTCGACTCTTTTTTGGCTAATGGTGTAAGTTAATACTGAATTCCGGTTCAATAACATTTATCTTTAAAATTTAACGAATTTTTGAATTTGAATTTGTATGACTGTAGCGCCATCTATCTTCAGATATATGAAACGTCTGGTCAATCATGTTGAAAGTACGTCATCTGAGTACTGTTGGATTTCAAATTTATTTTATGTCAATACCGTGAATAAATGGGTCAGTAGGTACCGTGGAACGGAAAATTTTAAATTTGTTTCTCGTTCTTGACGCTTCAAGTTGTAGTAAAATCCTTTCAGGAATTTATTTTTACACTAACGTAGATGAGTAATGCAATCACAAAATAAAATACGCTGTGCAAGATTATCCTGACTATAAATACTAGAACATGCCAACGTGAATAGAAGATACGACAGTGAAAGAAGCAGAATATGTATGTATGTATAATGAGAATGAAACAAGAAGCTTTAAAAGAAATCTTCCTATTTACAAAAAGGCCTATGTCCTCGATGTTTGATGATTTATTGAATGTAAGAAAAAAACACGTATTATTTTCAATCTTAACGTCTGGACAACAAGATGTGTTAAGAAGGAAGATAATCAAAACCAGATTGCTCCTACTTTGCGAAACTGAAAAAGAAGCTAGAAGATGAAACCAAGATTTTAAATACCGCAAAATAAACACAAAACAGATTGCGCACTTAGAGAAGCATAGATCTGTAAAGAGGTATGTAATTTACCTAGATGAAAATTGGCTGTGGTCTGCTAGGAATATTAAGGACTTTAGCTTTGGCTATAGCGAAGATCTCAGTGCAGGATCAAAATTATCTTTTAAAAAATATTTGGGATAACAGCTGACGTCTTAAAGTGATATTTGAGTGATATAACTAAATTTTCTGTATTTCAATCCCTCGCAAATTGCCATTCGGTAAAGGATCCGGAATATTTTTACCACCCAAACTGCGACAGTAACATATCGGGCCTCGTGTTTAGAAATATTTCGAATAGATCGCATACCGGGACTCATAGTCATTTGTAACGAAAAAGAGACGGGTACAGTCGCTTGCGCGTATGAAAAAGAGCGAGACGGACTATGGCATCTACGGGTGTGACGTGTATCTAGTTACTTCCCTGCAATCCATCACTTTCATCCCCGTTTAGACAAACTACTTCCCTAATGACACTTTTTAGGTGACGGTTTGTCATTTTTTTTTGTACGGATTTTTGAGAATTGTTGCGTATTTTCGAACGCATATAACGTCCAAAGGAAATATTAATTGAACCCTCGCGACCTCCGAGTTTGGTCGATTTTATAGGTAATTGAACTTATAAATAAGGGGTGTTTTTTTTCAATGTATAGAACTAAATAAGTTGCAATAAAACAACTATGGATTATTCGATTGACATGAATTCTATTTATCCGAAAGATAATCTTGTGGCATTACATTTTAAATATGATTTCTGGCATATGACCGCCACGGCTGGCGCGGATGTAGTCCAATCTGGACGTTCAATTTTCGATGACTTTTTCCAACATTTGTGGCCGTATATCGCTAATAACACGGCGAATGTTGTCTTCCAAATGGTCCAATGACCAATGACTTTACATAGCCCCACAGAAAGTAGTCTAGCTGTGTTAAATCACAAGATCTTGGAGGTCAATTCACAGGTCCAAAACGCGAAATTAGGCGGTGACCAAACGTGTCTTTCAATAAATCGATTGTGGCACGAGCTGTGTGACATGTTGCGCCGTCTTGTTGAAACCACATCTCCTGGACATCATGGTTATTCAATTCAGGAATGAAAAAGTTAGTAATCATAGCTCTATACCGACCACCATTGACTGTAACGTTCTGGCCATCATCGTTTTTGAAGAAGTACTTACCAATGATTCACCAGCCCATAAAGCGCAACAAACAGTCAGTTTTTCTGGATGTAACGGTGTTTCGACATACACTTGAGGATTAGCTTCGCTCCAAATGCGGCAGTTTTGTTTGTTGACCTAGCCATTCAACCAGAAGTGCGCTTCGTCGCTAAACAAAATTCGCTTATGAAAATCGAGGACAACGGCAATCTCGTTTTGGGCCCATTCGACGAATCTACGCCTTACTTGATGATCGTTTGCCTTCAATTCTTGCACGAGTTGGATTTTGTAAGCACGTAAACCAAGATCCTTCCGCAAAATCTTGCATAAAGTGGATGGACACAGATCCAATTCCTGTGCTCGATGGCGGATGGACTCATTCGGGTCTTCCTCAATGCTACGCTCTACAGCAGTAATAGCTTCTTGTGTACGCACCGTACGGCGTCTCTGGGGATGCGAGTTATCAATAAGAGTAAACATAGTGCGAAAACGTTCCATGGTTAATCGAGTTAACTGCTCTGATGGACGATTTTGTCGACGACAAAATGGACGTAGTGCGCGATACGTATTCCGCACAGAACCATTATTTTCGAAATAAAATTGAAAATAAATCGGAGGCTGTTACCATCATAAATATATTTACCAGGTGACAAATGACAAATCCACAAAATAATTGACCTGAGAATTTTATTATAAGTGAAGAAATGGAAATCAATGTTGTGAGATACTTCAACGTAAAACCAGCTGTGCCCCTAAGAGAAGTGGCATTAGAATTAGACATCTCAAGAGATCCGTGAGGAGAATAAAAAAAAAACACGGATATCATTCTTTCAAGTATAATCGTCATCAACATTTTTATGAAGCTGACTTTGTAAGATTTCGATATTGTAATTGGCTGTTAGATAAACAAGACGAGTGCAATAATTTTGTTCACTGATGAATCACGATTCTTAAATAATGCCATGTTTAACCGACAGAACAATAGATACTGGTTTTTAAATTATCAAACAATTATTCGACAAGCACAGTTTCAAGAACGGTCCGGAATCAATGTTTGGGCAGGAATGATACGAAGGCGAATTATTGAACCTGCTTTTTTTCCATGGTGCCTTGACTGGTGCACAATATCTACAATTCCTAAGAAATGAAATTGAACACTATTTATGTAATTTACCTCTTGCCGTGACATTAAATATGTATTTTCAGCAGGATCACATGTCACTGAACACCTACGTGATGTTTATGGGGATAGACTAATCTCAACACACGGTCCAGTCAATCGGCCCCACGGTCACCGGACTTGACACCGTTAGATGTTTTTGTTTGGGGGTTCGTGAAAGACCGTGTTTATGTAACTCCAGTGTTCGACCTACAAAAATTAACAGCTGAGAACATTGGCTGCATTTGAAATGTTAAGAAGGGTTACAGCGAATGCAGGGAGTGTCGTATAAAAGAGAGAGGATATTTGGAAAACATTCTATGAAACTTTCATCTCAAAGTAAATTGTTATTAAGTAAATAACCTATCGCACTTATTTAATTCAAATAAATACGAAAATCCAGTTCCAAAATAAATGAACGTGATGTATTGTATCAATCTAAAAATTGTCTTACAGTAACACACGTTGATATACCACTTTCAAATGTTGTACCAGTTTTAAAAAGTTTTTGTTCCCATTTATTATTGTTCCCATATTTGAAAAAACTAGGTTATCCTGAAAAATTAGTAGTTCATTACATTAAATGCTATTTGCCATTAGACAAGTAAAGAAAAGTTGCATTTACAATTGTTCCCATGAACAGGTGACCCGGTAAATAGTATTTATGTTTGTCACTGCCTCCGAGACACAATTTTCCAAAATTTAATTGAAAATTTAAAAAAACAAAAAAAGAGAGAAAAACCGCCCTATCCTACATAGAATGATCTGAATCCAAAAATGTAAACATAATTTGTGCCATTTAAAATTCGAAAGTTACTATCGTCTCCGCTCAAACCGGAAGTGACTACATATTGTCAAAAAAGCTTATCTTAACTCCTCCAAATTTCAAATCGCTATCTCTTTCTTGTGTCATCCAGTATATTTAGTAGCAATATGGTCCAAAAGGGATATTTCAGGCAAACGCAGAAAAGAACTAATACGTTCTATGATCAAGGTTGGAGAATTTTTATTTTTTGAATTTTTATTTTTTTTTATGCAATTTTTTTCGGTTATTAAACAGGCAATTACTTAAAACGCTCCAATCGTTTTAATTAGATTACTCAAGAAATTCGCAAACTAGTCAATTAAATTTGTCGAATAGAACAAACTTGTTGACAGTGATCAATTCCATGACCCATATGCATAAATTTCGAATTAATTCTCCTTAATATTTACGTCATCACTCATCTGAAAACGGAAAGAAATAAAAATCGACCGTAAAAATATACAGTTTTTATTTATTTTATAAATATTTATATAATGTTTGGTAGAACTTAACTTTGCACAATACTTTTTTGGCATTACAGTACGTCTTAAAATTGAAACCCTATTTCTAGTAACACAGAAAATACTTTTGGTTACTAATATATGTAAACATAATGGATAATACTATCCATAGAGAAAACTAATAACAAATTGTGATCATCTGCTTCAGAAAGAGGACATTAGAACGTTGGCAATTCATTGATTAAACAAAAAAAAACGATAAAATTAATTAATTTATTATATTGTTATTTTATTTTATGCTTTGCGCGTTATGTGTGTATCTGTCATATTGAGGGAAAATAACTCAAAACTCCAAAACAAAGGTAAAATGAAAGTGAGGTTATAGTATAGTTAAGGAAAAGGTCTAAATGGTTTTCATTCCTTTAGAATTTCGTTTTCTATAGTTATGATTTTGTTTCTAATAATTTATATTCATTAACTTTATGGTCTCATTATTTATGAACGGTATATATTATATATGCAAATGTAAAGTGTGTCATTTTTTTGTTTATGTTTTTTATTTATCCTCCATATCATTCAACTACTTAAACATTTATACTAAAATGAAATGTATGTAGTGTAATAAATGTAATGGAAAATTTTATTAATAATATAACTGATTTTGACATTATGTATTATATTATTTTACTTTTTGTTCTTTTTATTCTTTCTATTCTTTTTCTGGTTGGTTATATAATATATACTAAATAAAGGTAACATTTATTTCTTATATTATTAAAACACCTTAAAAGTCTGGTCAGGTATTGTTTAGGCCATCAAAAGCAAACGTGACGCCATACTTTGAGACAAAGTGCATATAATGGGCGGGTATTTGTTTTATTTTTTATTATCTATTATTATTATTATTTATTTTTCAGTTATGATGTGTTTCTATAACTACCAATAAACAACAAAACAAACATAAAAAATATTATTTTTGTTGGGGTTTTATGTTTTTATTTTTAATAATTTTCTCTATAATTCTAATATAACTTTATTAAATATTATTTAACCAATGATTTATTTAAATTTCCTGCCCAACGCCAGAAAATTAGCTGCAGCTGGTATTTACTACGGAGTCTCTTCTGTATTAGCTTTCTCTGTGGTTTTAACTTAGTAGCTACATTTTTGGCACTTTAATTTGTTTGCGATTTTCTTTCTGAAAAAGGGTCGGCAACCACTGAAATTACTTATTTCAAAGTCTGCGCTACAATATATTAATGATCAATAAAATAAGTATTTTACTCTTTGGCGAAAAACTGTTTTTACAATTGCACAATTCGCGAGGCACTTTTGAACTAGCGCGCCCTATCGAGGGCTGAATTCGTACCCGTTCTGATGCGCGGCGGACAGGGACGTACTCCTGAAATTTCCGTTATTCCCGTAGAATCCCTGATAGCTGCCGTACATGCCGCGACTGAAATTTGGCGTTCTCATCCCCTTGTCATTGCTGTAGACGGGGTTGTAGTTGTGCAGGATGTTGTGGGGGTGGTAAACGGGGCCGTAGTTGCAAATTTCCGCGGGATAGGGTTGTGCGATCGAGCTCAGCCCCGCACCTAAAAGGTTCGACTGCAGGATCGATGACGTAGACGTCTGGTTGTTGTTTTGGTAACGGTTTTGGAACAGCATCGAGGGGTGGGGGTTGTGGACGGCCTCCGATTGGTGCTGGACGGGGTTGTGTTGGTCGGAATCGTCGTCTGAAAGCATCGAGATTTAGAAGATTTGAAAAAAAAAACAAACGTTTTGCATTATTATGCTGTTCATTTGTTACGCCCTAGTAGATTTCACAACATTAATGGACATGCTATACAGGGCATTTCGAAAAACATGCGCCACTTTGGCTGGCGATTCATTCATCCAAAAAAAAAAGATAAAGATAAAGAAGTAATTTTGCTTCAACTAGATTAAATTGTGAAGTCTCTGATGGTATCTTAACGAATAATATTATCATTACTATATATATAAGATAACGTATACTTACAGGACTAATAAAGACATTTTGAACTGAATTGGATTGAATATATGATGACTTTTTTGCAATTTTTTTTAATTTAATTTGAACAATTCGAATAAACCACTAAAAATACTAAAGTACTAAAAGTTTTTTGACTCTTTTGGTCGAAAAGATAAATTGACGAGACGAACATTAATTTTATCACAATAGGCTTAGTTCTAAAATAATAATACTAAAAGAATGCTTTTTACAAAACTTCTGGATTCCTCCTGCGTTCTTCTTCAGAGCTTGACTGAAACTGGCTCGTATTTTACTCTGTACCTGCTTATATATTGTTTGAGGAGGGCATAAACACCGTCTCGGATGATTGATTCCCAAATTGGTGACGAGTAGAGACCTGAGTGGCGGTTAAGATTGTTAGGTTGATTACTGATTACTGATTACATGCAAGAATTTTAGTTTTATTGAATAAAATTTTATGCCCGGTTTCATGAGTGTGTTCGGCAACAGCTGATGAGTTTATTTGTCTTAGTCGTAAGGCTCTTTCGTATTCTTTGAGCCTAGTTGATATTTGTCGCCAGGTCTCTCCAATGTATTCTTTGCCGCATATGCCTGGAATGCTGTAAACTCCTGGCGTCTCAAATGGCGGACCGCAGATGTCGAGAGATTTTTGGACAAGTGGTAAATCTGGTTTTGACGTTGTACTTCTTTAGAACTTTTGATATGTAGTCAGTGATGTTTTGAATGTAAGGAAAGACCATAGTGGCAAGTGTACGATTGCTTTCGGCCTCATTGCTATTGGTAGGTTGTGGTGAAGTGTATTTTTTGATGGAACGTTTATTATCTTTCATGTGGACATTATTAGAGAGAAGAGCAAAGGTTAGGTGTTTTAATTCTGTTTTCAGTGACTCAGGCTGAGATAGTTTTACGGCTCTGTAAAGAAGAGAGTTGATAACCGATGATTTTTGGGCCGGATGGTGATGTGCATTAAGGTATCGGTCTGTGTACGTAGGTTTTCTGTAAACACAATGACCCAATGTTAGGTCTGGTTTTCAAATGTTTCGAATATTTAGGTTAGAACCAGCGATTTTTATACGGATATCAAGTTTGAATGTTATTTAAAATGATTTAAGTTTACATTTTATAACTTTGTTTAAACGGGAATTCAGTTAATTGTGGGTAGTAAATTCATAGGGTAATGCAGAACAGGAACATAACTTAACAAATAGTTTTTCACGAGGACCTTAATTATTATTCATCCAGAAAGTGTAACGGGACGAGGTAAAATTGATTTAATATTTTACAGTAGCTCACAAGTAAGGCATTTTGAATGTTTAGTGCTAAAACGTTGTATTTTATAACTTTATTCAATTTATAGGACTAAAGGTTAAATAAATATATGTATATTCGAGTTATCGCAAAAAGATATCTCAAAAGCACAGAAACAAAATATCAAGCATCAGGAAAAGTTGAAGAGAATGGTGTATTCATCTTAAGGAAGGGACAACATAATCATGAACACTTGAAGGACCAAATACAAGACAGGAGTTGCAAGTATAAAGGAGACCAAAAGAATATATGCAATAGACTTGCGACAAGGTAAAGAAGTTATTAGTAATAAAAATATTTGTAGAAATGTGTAGTACATTACACTGTACGACTGAAAATATATAAATATTGCAATTTCAATTATGTTAGCGTAAGTTTAGAAATGCCGAAGGTGCCTTACTTCCTTCAACTCAGTAGCATGCAGAGGTGGAGGCAATAGAATGTACCTGTAGAACTGAAAGATTGACTAGAGTTCTGGGAGCAAGCGAGTGACCTAGATATTAGTTTGGTTATACAGTTTGGCACAAAAGCTTGGTATGAGCCAGTTTTGTCGCAGGGCCCTGTATGAAAGGATATTAACCAATTTGTTGGAGCCACCCTTCATCAAATATGGGCATAAATTTTGAATTTTTTCTGGGATTAGCAAGTATTTTATATTATTTCGGTCAGTAACCTCTACCTTTGTGTAAGTTAATAGGAACCAGCAATAAATATTAAATAACAATATATATACATGAAAGTGGCAGTCTTAAATAAATATATTTGACGTTTATTAAAAAAACTACTGGTAACTCCTAATAAGGTGTTTAAAGGTAGAGGTTACCTTTGTCATAAAAATAAAAAATATTATTATAGGCTGTTACTTGGACTAGGCACTGGGGATTGTACGTCAAATACAAGAAAATGTGGATGGAAAAAAAAAATTATATTATGTTTTGTGTGTTACCCCAACGCTCACTCGCAACTGGCTAGGACAAATTGCACAGTGAATTCAGTCAGCTTATAATCAGTTTTATTCCCATCATCAGGTGTATTTTGCTATAAAAATGAATTTTGTTTTGGACGTTGTCATTCAAAAATTTGATTTGAAAGAAGTCAACTTTTACCTTAGCCGGTGGCTATAATAAATAGGAGGCGATAATGACAACGAAATATTGGAATGAAACTCAGGGGTTAATGAAAAATATTCTTTTCAATGCGGGTTTGCAACACCCTTCGATAAAATTAAGCTATATTTTTTTTGGAAGCAATAATTGAACCTATGCATAGGAATTCATGTGTCCTGTGCGGATTTAGTACCCGATGTACGTCCTGTATGTTTAAAACAAGCACCCTTTTCCTAATTCGTATTCAGATTATACCTATCTAGTATCAACTGTCAAATTACAAAATATACCATTGGACTGCTACATTGAAATGCCTCTAAAAACGAGACTCACCGAGACTTTCCGAAACGGGACCGAACGCCGTTCGGGATTTTCGGCCATTTGGCATTCGACCATTTGGCATTCGACCATTTGTGGTATTCCCGCACAATTATAGCATTTGTGGTTTTCCCGTATTTCTTCCGTTCCGTCGGCTATCTCGAACCAAGTCCGAACGTTCTCGAAAACAAACGATAAAACTGGCTATGTTTACGCGACGTATCCCCTGACCAGGATCGAAATCGGCCGGAGCCAATGAAATAATTACGTTTTTATCGGTTTTTCGATTTATACACAACCAGAAATTTACGATTGCGCGTTCTCCTGCTGCAACCGCTTTCGGGCCGTAGCGCTTTTTTAAGAGTATTTTCCCGTTAAATTTATGTACTTTGCTTAACGTATCGATCGAGCACATGGCTCCCGACTTTTGTAAACAAATTTTTACTGCCCGGGCGGGCAAAGGGACGCCTCCAGGGTCGGATTCGCCTTTTTTCTCGGCTCTCTTCGTTTTAGGAAAGACAGGGAGAGGTTTACAAAGAGAGTGAGGGAGAAGTACCTTGCCTTGAAATGGGGTTGCTTTTATTTGATGAAAATCCATTTAGCAATTTCCTGGACTAATCACGTTTCCAACAAGACAGTTTTAGAAATGCTTCAAAAAGACACCAAAATGGTGGATATCATTAAGAAACGCAAATTAGAATATCTGGGTCATATATACCGTAACCAACAGAGATATGGTCTGCTTCAATACTCCGAAGAGATATCTAGATAGAGGACTTGGAACACGAAGAATGTCCTGGTTGAAAAATTATACAGAGCAGCAGTCAACAAAGTTCGGATCGCTTTGTTTACCGCCAAAGTCCGGAATGGACAGGCACACCAAGAAGAAGAAAAAAATATTATCTGTGAACCTACCGTCGAAAAAAGCCAAGTCCTAACTTATCTATTCCAAAATATGCAACTTTTATTTTTTGTAATATTGACGAAGAGAGGTCTAAAACTAAATAGTTTTTTAAAACAAGGAGATTTAAGAGAGAGGAAACTTTACTTCTTTATCTGAGGAAACAGTAAAGTCTGTTTGCATATGGTGTGGAGTAATAAATTTGGGTACTTCGTTCAGTACGACTAAATTTAAGGATCGGACTTAGGTGTAGATAGTAAATTAACCATGGGCAATATTTCCGGTGATTGATGAATAAGGTATGAGGGAATGAGGTCAATGCTTCTAATACTATATTCAAAGTTTTAATAACAACTTAATAAAGTAAGTCCAGTAAAATAACTATATTTGAAATTGAGGACATTGGATTTGAAGAATAGATATTGAAACATGAAGTGGAAGGTATAGTTGCTGTTCGACCCAGCCATTATGAAAGCGATCCTAGAGAACTGACGAAATTTTGCCATCGTGTTATTAAAAGAAGAAAAAACTGGGTGACCCTAATAGCTTAGTTGATCAAATGGTAGACCATTTAATAGAAATATGATACCAACTTGTATATTATGCATATTATTACTTTTTTTTTTGGGTTTATATATATATATAAAAATCAAGGAGCGTAAGGTCCGGTTCTGTAAAGGTATTCTTTAATTTAACAAAAAAAACTGCCGGTGCAGGGAAATACGAAAAATCTAGCAACGATTTTAAGCAATGTGCTACGAAAATCCGTGATACAGTCCTGGGCGGTCGTTTCCATTTATAAACAAAATTTTATAAGCCAATCTCCTTAACACTGTGTTTACGGAACGCGAGCTTTTAAAATAAAATAGCCGAACGCGAGCTTTACGAGCCCGGTTGTTGTAAACACTCGGTAATTGTGTTTGGAGTATTTAAAATGGCTACAAAATGAGTTACTATAACTGTCAATGTGCGGAGGAGCTTCTGCTGACGGATTTGACTTTTTAGTCTGCCTATATTTACTGACTCTGGTTTTGAGTACCTACGAGGTTCTTCCTTACCTTTAGCTCCGCAGCTGTTTGGGGTAGACCTGGACGTTGTCCGTTGCCTCTGTTGAGCCGCAACTTCTTGACTCCTGAAACAAAAATGTTAATTTTGAAACGAATCGACATTTCAAAATCTCAAATATACATTAAGAGTAAAAGGATTTTATTATATTATTCAAATTAGTTAGGTAGGTAAGCAAAACCAACCTCAAAATTGTGTCAAAAATATATGTGAAACCGAACGAATTGAACGTATGACGTGGCTAAGCTAAACTAAGCTAAGGCTACCAGGTTACTTATGCTCACTCTGATATTAATCACGGTGAAACATTTTACTTTCCCCTTACCCCGATAGCAAATTTACTGGACAAACATTTTAAAGTGAACTGGATAACTGGATAACAAAGGTATTTAAATAGGTAATTACAAAAACAAAATTTTTGACCGTTCGGAAGACTAAGGAAAGTCATATATACTTAAAATCGTGTTCGAAAATGAAGAAATATATATAATATAATGTATATAATGTATACAATATATAATGTAAACTCAAACTTTTTTATTTTACGTTTTAGAACAAAAAAAACTTTAATACAAAAGTTGTAGGGTTTAATGTGTAGATTTATTAACATCAAAGCCATGTCACATATCTCCAATATTCAAGAATGAACAAAAAAATAACGTTTTTTTTAATTGATAAAAATTAGAAATATCGTTGTATATAAAAAATATTAGAAATGGCAAATAGGGCCAAAAATGTGAGATAATACAAATATATAAACATTGATTAGGAATATTGCGCTAAATGTCTTCCATTTTTCCCAATAAATAGTTGGTCCCTTCTATTTCACTTTAATTATCCATCTCACTCCTAAAGCATTTTTTTGTTTTATAAATACCCTATAAAAAAGCATCTGAAAGGGTAAAATCTGGGCTATTGGGTGGCCTGGTATCGCCCAATTCATGTTGGATATGTATTACATATTTAAATATTAAATATCCTGTTGACATATAATTTCCACTAATTAATTGGCTCTGATGTTTCCCAAAAGATTTTCCATACCTTTCCTTGAAATTGCTAAAGAGATTTCTCCAGTCATCGTCGAGTCATAAAAAATAGGTCCGATATTTTTTTCATTTTATCCATTTTGAACCATAATAGTCTTCAAGATATGCCATAATTAATCAAAAGACGTGACGTTGGCGTGACGCCATGACAATTCTTCCCGAACTAAAGGACGATTTCATTTTTGGCTAATTCCGTCCTTGCATAATTTGAGCAGCTTGTACAGCTTTGAGCGGGGCGCAAACGATATTTCAAACACGGTGTATAGTTGGTTTCTGAATACACCTGACAGTACTTCTCTGTTCCCTCTCCGGACGGAAGGAATGATATATAAATGCCTACGAAAAATTCCCTGTAAACTCGCATCTAGACAGAGTCTTTCAGGTGATATTGGGATCAGAAACCAGCAATCCCAGAAAGCAGACACGGTGTATAGTTGGTTTCTGAGTACACCTGACAGTACTTCTCTGTTCCCTCTCCGGATGAAAGGAATGATATATAAATGCCTACGAAAAAACTCGCATCTAGACAGAGTCTTTCAGGTGATATTGGGATCAGAAACCAGCAATCCCAGAAAGCCTAAGAATGGCCTGCCGCAGGAATCAGTGCTTGCGCCGCTGTTATTTAGCCTACACATTGCAGATAGGCCCAAAACAACTCAAACAAAATTAATACAAGAAGCCGACGAGAATCTATCCGGGGACCTGACGATGATAGGAGCTTCTCTCAAAAATGGAGACTCCAACCTATTGCTTCAAAAACAGAAGTAACCTAAATCTATTTAAACAACAAAATGGCCGACAGAAAATTTAATGTCCACTTTGATCACATTTTACTTAATCATTTTAATGCACACCTGACTTGTCTATTCGGCAGCGCTCACGCTTCGCGGTTTCTTGTGCTAGAGGGACGCATTGTTGTTCTGTCGTGCTGCTGCAGACCGCTATTTAACTTTATTTTATTGTGCATACACCTTGTATAAAGCATCTTTCACGTATCGCCGAAGTTCAAAGTCACGACAAACTTTGATAAATATAAAAAATTGTACAAGTAATAACGATTTCCAAAGATATCGTTCCAAGTATCTCGCGCACCCTGTATGATAGACGAAACCTGAAACTCTCTCCTCACCATTTACGATACTGTTTGGACTAAATTTTTACAAGTTTTTCATTAAAGGATAATAATTTACAAAGAAAAACGGCAATTTTCAGGGTCTTTTAGATATTTTACCCATAATCGACACACCCTGTACATAAGTGAAAATTTTCCGGATTTTTTAATTTTTTTTTTAAATACTTCCCGACTCCCCGACCCCCTCAATTTTTACTTGTCATGTTTCATAGCAACGTCCAAAAAACAGTCGAAAATCGAAAAAAAAAAGATGGACGCCGAAGCTTGACCGCAGCCATTTTTACACATCTTATGCATTCCGTACACTGTAAAAAAGGAGCAATGGGGGTCCCGTAGAACCTACCGCTACCGAGATCTCGACTTTAGTGAGGAGCATATACGAATATACGAAAGTATACGAAAAGAAACGATTCATCGATTTTGCGAAAGTAACAAGATTGCTTTCGCACTCTCGTCGCTGCGCGAGGCGACTGCTACGCGCTACGCATTACACAGAGCAGCTACGGCAACAAACATTCTTGAAAATCAAAATTTGTACAGGTAGTGGCGATTTAATATGATATTTTTGCGATTATCTCGCATGCCCTGTATGATAGACGAAACTTGAAACTCTCTTTCGAAGCAATTTACGATACCGTTTAAAATAAATTATCCTATCTTTTCATTTCATTTCATTTTTTTCATTTATCGAATAAAACGCTTGAAATAAAAGTTATAGTATTGGATCTTCAGCGTTTGTTGGTTAAAGCATTTTGCCGATCGGGATAATAGTTTTGGAGAACATGAATTTTTTCTGGATTAAAACATCTAAAATAAAAAAATAATACTGCGCCATACTTGACGGCGCCTAGTATCAATAATTTAAATGTGGGTGTGGACTTCTACCTCTTTGCTAAGTTGCAAATTTGAGACACTTTTACTTACATTTCTTAATATAGAACGGAATATCTTGAACATCCCGTAAAATAGGTGAAAACCTTAAATACAGGAGTTTTAACTATCAGCATGGACTATATAACAATGCAAAAAAAAACTGACAACAGAATCACCGCCTTCTAGTTATGGTCAATTATCATTACAAAGGGAACCAAATTTTCAGTTTTTTGTAAATTACCGACGCATCCTGTACATTTTTTAAAAAATCATCAGGAGTAAAAGTTTTTGCTCTGGTTCTTGCGCATCTTTCGGATTGAAAATTTTTCGGATGGTATATACTGTTTTTGAGAAATGAATTTTTTTTCGCGACCCTGCAAATGCGGTTAAGTTATTAAAAATACTTCCCGACCCCCTCAATTTTAATAGGTTCCATTAGGGAACTAAGCGCTATATTTGTGCTAATTTTGAAATGTATAGCTATAAATTTAGTACATTTATCGTGTTTCATAGCGATGTACAAAAAACAGACGAAAATCGCAGAAAAAAGGATGGACTAATGGATCTCGTGGTCAGTTTAAAAGTAGAAAAATCTCAGTGCACTGGCTTAAGTCGTTCGGAAGTTATTCAGACACACAAAAAAAAGTTGTTTTTTGTCCGGATCTTGCGGATCATATCTGTACCAATGGGGATCCCCTAGGACCTATCTTCGCCGAAATATAAGTTTCGTTGCCAAGCGCGTATGCTTTCGAAAAATTCGATTTCATTGATTTTTCGAAAGTAACAAGATTGCTTTCGCAGCGGCTAAATCTTTATCAGTTTTTCTTTTATCGCCAATAATTTACCCACAAAAACGGAAATTTTAGGGAACTTTTAGATTTTCTGCTTCTAATCGACACACGCTTTTTATATTTCCATTATTCGAAATAGAAATTATAGCCCCGAATCTCCCACTTTTCCTGGTATGTGAATTTTTTCAATAGGGTGAATGGTTTTCGAGAAAATATATGAAAGCATGCAGTACGACGTGTCTAGATGGAGTGCGAGAAATAGCGATTTTCATATGGATTTTTCAAATATCTCGAGCAGCGTGTGTGGAAGATGAAAACCGTAAATACAACAATTGTTACTCTTGATACGGCATATAATTGAAAATAATTGAAAAATCCTATATATAATCGAAAAAATGCCTGAAATGGAAGTCTTAGCACCGGATATTCCGCGTTTACCGGTTCTATAATTTTGCCGATAAGTTAAATAGTCTTTGAGAAAATCATGTTTTTCAGAAAGCCAAAATAATCAAGATACTTGGTTACGCTCAAATTCTATTGTTTTGATGTGGGTACGGACTTTTACTTCCTTGCCAAATTTAAAGGCGATAGCTACATATTTGAGTCACCTATGACGTTTTTGAATATAGAACAGAATATCCCGAACACCGTATACAATATGTGGAAACTTTAACTACAAAAGTTTTACCTGTCTATACGAGCTATATAGCCATGTAAAAAAAATTGACAACAGAATCACTGCCTTCTAGCTATGGGCAATTATCATTACAAAAAGGGAGTCCAATTTGCAATGCTTTGCAAATTACCGACGCATCCTGTACATTTTTCAAAAATCATCAATAGTAAAGAATTTTTTCGATCACGTGAGAATTGATTTTTTTCTCGATGCCCTGCAAATACGGTTTTTAAATTTTAGAAGATTCTTCTCCGCCCCCCAGCCTCCCCAATTTCAATAGGTTCCGTCAGGGGACTAAACTTTATATTTCTGTCAATTTTGGAATAGATAGCTGCAAATCTCGGACACTCATCGTGTTTCATGACGATGTACGGAAAATAGAGGAAAATCGCAAAAAAAATAGATGCCAATATCCAATCGCAGCCATTTCCTATGGGCTTATGTGTCTCGTGGGCAGTTTAAAAGGAGCAAAACCTCAGCTCCCTCACTCAAACCGTTCGGAAGTTATTCGCGTTTTTATGGACAGAGAACGGAGAACAGACAAAAAAT